TGAAGTTTCAGGCTACTAACAGGATGTGCTAGCGGCTCAGCATTTAATAATAACAATACCAGTTATAATATTAGAAGCAACGCAGCTGGGAAAGTCAGAATTTCCTCTCCAAACTGCCGTAGACCATCTGTTATTGCTACAGAAAGGTTACGTCATGACAAAACAGTAACTTTAAACCCCAGTCACACAAATGATGCAGATCCATATTCTTACACTTAAATTCGGCAGAATTTAAGTCAGATTGTAAGCTCAGTGCCCAGTTACTAACTTGGAAGTTCCTTTTGCAGTATATTTTTAGGCATTCAGAAATTGTTAAATTCAGCAGCAAATTTTATATTATTTAGAACACTAGCATCAGTCTCCTGCTTTTGGATGGGTATTATAAGAAGACACGGAAAACCATTTGCTGATGTGAAGCTGTGCTGTTTTTGCACAAAGAAAGCACATATATTAAATAATTATTAAGCATATTAAATAATATTGTACATATTTATATAAATAAATATAATTATGTATTTGTATACAAATATATTTAATATGATAAATTATATTAAATAATAAGTAAAAGGAAATTTGGTAAGTAGAGTCCTAAACAACAATTTTCAGTGAAAGCTATCTAGAATTTTTTGTTGTTTATTTGATCAGGAATACTCAAAATGCAGGAAATATGGACAGATTTTTTTTTTTCTTCTGAAAATTCTTCTCTAAGGGGAATCTATTATCCTTTAAAAATGAGTGAAATCAGTGATAAATTTCACACTGATCCTGTTCTGGGTTTTGGGTCAGGACTTGAACTTCCGTAATAGGTAATACCCATTCAACTCTCAAATTTAAAGCCCTGGCAGGAACACCTTGTGAGAAGTAGCTATCTGCAGAAGAGAGGTTTTATGAGAATGATAAAAAGTTGAGTGTGTGTCTATGTGCAAAAATCAGACCTATAGTATCTATCTCCTAGCCTTAGCTGTAGAATTAGTTTGGGAGACAAAAGATCTGCCGTAGTATTTCAGGCTTTACAATAGGTCATTTGGAATAAAATGCTGAGTATAAACATTAAACGCCAATAGGAAACTCATAAAGTGGAGATTACCGTGAGGTTTGTCTTCATAGATTCCCCTAAAATGTCCTTCCTAGCATCAAAATAGAAGAAGAGGGAAAAGTGGGAAGCGGCTTGAAACAAGTAGAATGGAACGAATAAGGAAGTAGCCTTCAAAGGCCACTTGAGTCAATGGCAGTGTTTACAGGAGGATTTGGCTCCTATTCTGAATTTCCCACCCACAATATGCACAAAGGGCAAAGAGGAGATTTTAAGACCAGTCTGCAGAGAGGAGCCTGCTCTGGAACCTGCAACAAATGGGGACTGGCAACTGCTTTATGGCATGAAGAATGTGCAGGCCCCTTCCCACAAGCTGTGTCTGCAGCATATTCTCTTTCATAGGCATACATATATGCATTTTTAGAAATTCAGATAGAAGTTTCCCCAGCACCTTCAAAATTTTCAATCTTTGTATCTCTGGTTCCAATATTTTGTTTTGAAAAACCTACCTGTTCATTCCTACAGGGCACTTTTTAACATCTCAATATCAGCACTATGCAGCATAGAATGCAAAGATTGTCTTTAGACCTCCCCAAATTCATTCTGTGGTACTTTAACTCTTTAGCAAATATTCAAAAAAGTAATAATCCATCTGCCTGCATACACACACACACACACACACACACACACAGACTGAAGACAGGTGACTGTAAGATCTGATTACCATTTAAATTAATGCCCCTTTACTGATCTCTGGTACTGTAAAAAGTCTTTATAAAGGGACTTACTTTACATTCATTTTTAAGGCCATCTTGGTACTGTCACAGAAGTATAAAGGGGCCTTAGAGTAACAGAATCAGCCCAATGGTACAAACTGCAACACTTCATTATACATTTTACAGATATTTCCATTACAAATGAGATTCCTTAATCACAGGTTGCATTCTAAATAAAACACCATTACAGAAATTAAACTGCAGAGCTGCAATGGCTGGCATATTGGAACAAGACCTTAAGGGTAGATTCTGACACTGCCAGATTATGAGAGACAAACTTGTAATAAGCCACCATTCCTTCACAACAGGGCTCAGTGGATTTAGCACTTAAGTAATTCTCTCTAATTATAAAAACAACAGAGCTTTTATATTCCAGCATTTTGTCAACTTGTCCGTAGTGCAGGAAAGCACAGATAGCCAAAGCAGCACCTCTTGTCCTTACACGATGGCAACTGTATTTTGGGACAATTACTTTCAGAGAAAAAAAATGTAACTGCAAAATAAATAGCATTTCCTGCCTTACCCATACTTGAGTTTGCAAAAATCATAGCCTTTTGTGTAAAATAGATGCCTAGGAACCCTAATGGAAATATATGGCAGCATCTGGCCAGACTAAGGACCCATCTAGTCCAGTATCCTGTCTCCAGCTGTGACCAACACTGGCTGCCTTGAGAAGAGTATAGCAGCAGAGGACACGTGTAGTGAAACCTTCTCAGAACGTTCCCCTAGCCCTGAACCTGCGGTTCAAGGACTTCCTGCACCAAAGCTTTACAGCTCCTTGGATTTTCTTTCCATGAAGAGTCATTTTTTGAACATATGCATATTTCTAGCAACATTACCTCCTATTTGAGGCTTCATTACATCCCGGGTGAAATGTCTTCCTGTGTTTTGAACCCACTATTGCTATTTCTGCTTCATGCCCCCTAATTCCTGTACTGGCAGGAATGACAAACAGTGGCTCCCTGCTCACCTTAAATGATGCTCCGTTTCTGAAGATGGTGCTGCAATAGATCATGGGAATGCACCGTATTTTAATAGGATACCTTTGACAGTGTGTGTGCTACAGCAGTAGGAAAGAGAATGAGGAATTATCATATTAAAGACTGGAGAATGTTTTTCATTATAATCCTATTCTCAGGGTCTCATAATGTCCAAGCTGAAACCTACTTTTGGGATTCTACAATAAAAGGGCACATTCAGGTTTAAATAGAATGTATATCAAGTGTAACTAGCAAAACGCTATGTCCACTCCTAAGTGGCTGCTCTAAGGCAAGTCAGTGCTACATTTTTTCTGTACCTAATCCTGTTGCTAGAAGGCAGTTAAGTTTGGGTGTCTCTTGGCATGGTATTTTTGTATGTCTAGCTCATGTTTTTTCAAGTATGCCTTTTAAAAAAATTATAAATGGAAAAACGAGCGACATTTCCTTTTCAGACATCGGCCATACCATATACCATATTGCATTCTCCTTGTCTTGAATAAGAAATAGGCTGGAACAGTCATTTCCAGTGTCTGTCAAACAGAAACAAGTTCAATAAAACGAGCAATTTTAAACTTTCAGGATAGCTGCTTTCAGCACCAAGAACTTGCATTCACTATACATTGCTCCCCAACAATGTGTCACCTGGTATAAATCTGCTTATAAAGGATTTACAGAGCTCTGGAAAATATAGTAACAAGTCTGTGCCTGCATTCACGCTCTTCTAACCTACCTACCTAACATCTTGGGAATTCAGTATAATATTATTCAGCATTTTTATTTAAACAATAAAGCATGACAATATTTTTACTGCAGTTTTTCTTCCTCCCTCCTTTTTTTTTTTTTTTTTTTTTTTACTTCTCTTCATATCCTGTGCTTCAGTTTTCATATCTAGATGTGTCTGATCATTAGCTTTTCGGTGGTCTTTTATCACATTCAATTAATTAGATTCTCTAAAAGCCTCTCATTTTTGCAGAGGCTTTTCCTTCCCCGTGCTTTTGTCCTTGCTGTACTTTCTCTCCCTGTCTCTTTCTTGCCTCCCAGTCACTGTTTATCTCCAGACAGTTTATCACAGTTTTCCCTACCCTTTTTATAAGATGGTGTGATGGCAGAATGAGTATCTGGGAAGATGTGCTCTGGACTAAAATATATTTAACCTCTAAAAGCTGAAGTAAAAAAAAAAATGTGGATGGATCTCCTGTGCTCATATTATCCACAGCCTAAATGGCAATACCATAAGCCTCAGTGGGGCTATTGACTACTAATTACATCTTAACTGCTAATGTGTACATGATACTGTCTCTGTTTTATTGCTTTTTGTATAAGAATTTCATTTATTTTAGAGAATGATGACTTTTTTCTTGAAATAACATGAAATGTTACAGGTTTATTTTTCTTTCTTTTCATACTGTGTAGCTAAAATTCGTATCTCCAAAGGCCACATTGTACACAAGGAATACACATAGAATAGTGTATAAATATTTTGGTTAATACATGTGTATATTATTTAGAATTATATGTACTCTCGAACATAAACATATGCACTTCGGATTGTAAGCATCCTTGATTTCAATGACTTTCAAAGGACTTTTCTCATCTGACAGGTTCTTGCAGGAACCTATTACAAATTTTACACTGATACACATAACTGCTGCGTGCTCTGTTGCGGCAGGGCAGAAAAATGCAGAATCTCACAGCCTATATAAACCTGAAAGTATTAATTCATTTTACAGTTTGTAGAATGAAAAAAAACTCAAATACCTAGTCCAACATTATTGACATTTTCATTTCATTGCAAATTAGCATCTACTAGCCAAAATCAGCATCATCTTATGCTGAACAAACATCACCAAACATCAAATATTACCTTTCCTTGAAAAATTTTATGTCTAAGGGAGAGATTTGCAAAAATCGCCTAATGAAATGAAGAGCCCAAATCCACATATTCAATTTGTGATCTTAGCTTTGTTGGGGATTTTTAGAAGTCAAGATAGAAAAAAACAAAGGGGAAAAGCAATTAATATGAAATTTTTACAAGTGAGGAACAGAGAGTTTAAACATTTTGCATCACTCTTGGAATCTGAGCATTGACCTTGATTCTCCCGAGCCCCTATGCACTGCACTGCTCACACAAGCAACTTCCCATGTTTTCACATTCACCAGGTCTTGTATGAAACACCCTTTAAATCTTCAAGCCCTAGGCATCCCGCTTACATTTTCACTGTTAACGTCTGTCTCGCTGGGGCAGCCAAAGAGCTCCCGTCTCAGTAAGTTCCCATCATATTCTAGAAATGTCAGGTAGAGGTTGCGGAAGAACTCCACATGCTTGTTTTTCACTCTCAGCTTCTTTGGCGAGTTCCAGTGAATCACCTCAGAGGAAAAAAAGACAAAAAAGACCTGCTGTTAGAATACAGATTTGCTTTATTCACTGGTTTTATGTGCATGCAGTTTACTGTCCTCCTAAAAAAACACAAAAAAAGGCAAAACCAAACAACAATAACAAAAAAAAAAGCCTATGCAGATACTTCTTTCAGTCTTTTAATAAGGAATACTTTGCTGCATCTTTCAGATGTAACTGCATACTGTATAAATGATGTATTTTACACTCCTGCACAGAATAACTTGTACTTTTGCCTTGGTGTATTCTCCTAGTTCGTGATGCAGCCCCTCTTAAATGTTGCCATAACTTCAATCCTGGCCTGAGAAGTTACAGATGCTGCTGAAGAGAGTGGCAGTATGAGGGAGAAGGGAAGGTTGATATTAAACATTAATCTCAGATATCCATATGACTGTTTCAGCTAATGATTCACTGTTTCAGGCCAGACAGATTTTTCTCTTGTTAGGTATTGAGAAGGGAAAAAGCCTCAAATGAATTTCCGTATTGATTTACTCCCTTTAAAAAGGTCTGAATTCAATGCAGCTCCCTTTTCACCATTACTTCGTTTAAACAAGACTGATCTTGGTTGCATTGCACAACATAGCAATGCAGTACAATGCTTCACCTTTTGAATTCCTATTTCTAACAGGTATTTAGTCTCTGCTAATGGGAGGTAACTCTCACACTGGCCTAGATTTCACTCTAATGCTGACATAAAGGGCCTGATTCTCATTTACATCAAGGCGACTTTGCACTGCTTTCTGACAGCATGAACAGGAATGGAGCCATAAGGAAAAACTAAGGGGGAATCAAAAGTGGTTTGCAGGAACAATTTCTTTTTATAGAGGAAATACTTTTGGCATAAGAAAAAAAAATGCTTTACATCCAGTTTTATTCTCATAAATTCTCAAGAGATTAAGAAAAGAATAAAGGAAAAAAAAAAAAACTCCATTGGGAATATTTCCAAGCTAGGAGCTCTGGAGAGGTCCTCTGAATCCATTAAGTTAATTGCGTGAAGGTGACATGTCAGTCACACACAGCTACAGACTTCTTTGCCACCAAGCTGTACTACCAGCTGCTGATGCATCCCTCTCTGGGATTTCACTACTGAAGCTATGAGGAATTCAGAAAACCATAGATGCAGATAGAGAAAAGCAACTGTAGGGAGTTCTGGATCATTTTGGAAGCAGGCGAATCACTTTTTCCAATAAAAGGAGCACTTTAGACCCCGACCAGAAGATACACACCATACAAATCTTGGAGATTACCCAGAACAAATATATTTGGTACAGATATTCTACATAGATAAAGCTACATCCTTTGCTGATTTTACATTTATCTGTATATTTAAATGTATAGCTTGAATGTGAAATAACACATTGTTTCAATATGTGTTGAAAATAGAGAAAAAAGAAAGAAGCATTAGCTAGCACTGCTAGGATGGGATATAAACTCAAAATGGCATATTTCCTGCACTGAAAAATGGATCTTTATATCTCTTCTCTGAAAACAAGTTGATGTGTTTCATCTGTTGCATTGAACTGCAGCAAAAGGCAGGAAATGCATAGAGGAAAAAAGAGGATTGAATCCTACCTCACGCAAACAGGCAAACATAATAGCAGTATAGCGCTAAAGGAATCTGCTAAAGGGTTGATGAATACTTTTAAAGGGTACTGGTATGCCTTTTTTTTTCCTAACTGGCACAGAATGAGAATTCCTGATGCGCTGGCTACCACTATGTCTTTAAGAGAGGAGATGAGTGTATGCAGAGAAGCTGGAAAATGGGAAGAAAAAAAAAATCCTGCTAAGAAAATCTTTTCTGCGTGAAAATTTTGTCTGCTAGTCCTATCATGAGCATCCAACCACCCTGGTGAGCAATCTGACTGCTCACATGAAGGACCTTCAGCACTGAAATGTTTAATGATCATTAACTCCAACACCGTTACAGACCAGGATTCCCTACTCTGATGGAATTCCCCATCAACACACACTATGTCACATCACAGCTGAGTACTGGCTGATGTCTCCGCTCCGTTGTGTGGGTGATGTCAAGTCCAGGCAACCACAGTTGTCAGTGTAGAGTCTATTTGCTGCTGTGCTTCAAAATCTTGTTGTGTGGGTAAAAGCTGGTAAGCGTCAAGGGTCTAGCTGGTGGTTGAGATCTGATCAGATTTGAAACATGTGTCAGGTTGCCGTATGTGTACAGATGTCAGGGGAGCAGGCAGCCAACCGAAGAAAGCTGAATGGAGCTAACGACTGTCTAAAAAAGTTGATTTTTTTTTAATCAGGAAGGACAGCACATGTCAATGCAGCTAAAGAACAAAAAGGAAGTAAGAAACCATCTGGATGACCTGAGGTACAAAAAACACAAAACAGGTCTAGTGGAAAAGCAGCCTGTTTTTCAAATGCAGCATGATTAGAGAAATATTATGTGATACATGAAAGCGCAAAAAAGAACAGTAGGTTTCTACAGGCAAAAAGACTCTTAACCACCAATATATAGCACTACATCCATAGACTTTTTTTTTTCTTCTCTCCTGTCAGCCCACGAATTCACTTTGGGTTTTGTCTGCATCTGTCTGATTTGGCTTATTGCACAAACAGCAACACCAGGAGTTTTACAGGCCAACAAACCCATGTGTAGACTGTGATGGGCATCAGTGAGGTACATGAAAGCAGTGGGTTGCACAAGTAGGGCCATGGCAAAGGCCATTATGTGATTATTAAAACCTTCACTGTGGACAACACTGAATTGCTTGGGGAAAAATAAATTAGCTGAAAAAAAGACTGTAGAAATTAGCAAAAACACTTCCTGACAAAAAAAAACCAAAAAAACCCAAAAAATGCAATGTCTACTTTACTTACAGCCCGACCAGCTGTTATCCCAAAATTGCAATGAGAAAGTGAACATAGAATCTAAGATCTTATTTCTATAACATCCCCCTTTCAAGACTGAACAGCACTGTAATACTCTATCATTTTCCCTCTTAATTCCTGAGCTATTGCAAAGCCCTGGTGGCTGGCAGAGAAAATTGCAGCTAGATCATACAAATTGCAGTGCTGTTGTCTGGACAGACATGGTGCTATCCTTCAGCCTGTCCCACACACCCTTCCCATGCTTCATCAAGGCCTCCTGAGAACTGAGGAAATTATCCTCCTAAATCTTCATCTAGCAATTTAAGTACTAAAAGATCAGAACATAAAATTCCACATCTATTTAACACTTGGTTAGTTGTCATTAAGCAGCTTGGCACTATCTACATTTCTGTTAATACTACCCTGGTTAATCAGCATCCGTTACCACTCACTGATTAGGCTCAGTCATCCTCCTGGAATATTTCCTTGTATTTTGTGCCCTACTGAAACAGGCTATACCAAACTGATAGTTCCCATTTGTTCACCAGATTTTGCCTGAAAACACTCAAATGATGATGCAGTTGAATCCTTATAGACAGGCAGTGGCACCTGAAATGGAAGGCTACACAGGATGCTGACAGAATATGAGAGCGAGCTCTAAGGTTGGTCACCTACACAGAACTCTACTGAAAACAAAAAATCCCGGAAACGCTTGCAGATTTTTAGCAGCATTGCTCTCCCCAAGAACATTAATTATTTCAAATCCGATGTTCAAACCACTGAACTATAAGCTTCAACATCTGATTTCTATGGGTACCCTTCCTATTCATTTTTTCTCTACCCTGCAGCTCCTTCTCTCTCCACATGAAATATTTAGCCAAATGCCTCCTTTACCACAATCTTTTTTTTTCCCCCCCACAAAGACAGATATTGTGAATTTCTCACTGTTTCAGCCCTTAGGAAAACAGAGAAGTCACCTGTGGACCTTTTTCTACTACCTACTTTCCAAGCTGAATGGCATAAAAAGTAAAAATAAATTAACACTGAAGAGTTTTATTTTTGTAAAGCTCTGAATTAACCCTATGAGCACTCTGCAATTTAGATAAAGAATAATATATGGAGAAATTATATATGGCGAGCTATTCCTATTTAAAAGCTAGGCTCCTTTGTCCTTATTTAGGCAAACAGGAATTTCCCACGGAAATCAAAAGGAGCAAAATGCTCAGCAAATCTGCATATAAAGTAATTTGTGTCATTTGGATATGATCTCAATAGGCTTTCTTTTAGGCCTGTTATGGTTGAAAAGTTTAGTTTAAATACCATTCCCCTCATCAAATAACCATTGCATCTACATCTTCCAGTATCTGAACCAGAGATGCCTGGAATTTTTCTTTTAAACTATGCTTTGTCAGAAAAGACTTGTTCAATTACAAAAATAATTCTCCTAAAGTGCCAAATATTCTACAAAAATGTTATCACAGAGACTTTTTATCTCCAGAGTGCTACCTCTGACATAAATGAGCAGAGAAGAATCGTGTTGGAGTCACCAGGAATTCAGAGGTACAGACACTGCCTTTGGATGCAGAATTTGAACCCTGCCCTGCCTGATTTGGTGACCATGATCCCAAGGAGTATTTTGCCCCTTTGCTTTTGCTTATGATGGCTAAAGATCACTATCTTCTGTCTTACTTTTTTCTACTAACGCTTTTTATTTGTCCTCAGAAGAGTTTGCAGCTTTCCTTTCAACCCCTGTACAAATGTTTAATGTGAGGCCTCCATAAGTTGATTTTGGACGGTCTATCCCCACTAAAAACACCTCTACAATACCAAGGTTCTCCCTTCTTGACAGGGCAGAAGAAGCTTATAGACTGCATTCAAGGGAGGGTTATGTTTATCCCTCTTGGGCCCTTAGTCCTCTCAATGCAGTTTTTCACCAGGTGGCATTTAAAGGTGCAAGGGTGCAGAGTGCCAGAGCTGCTGCAGAGGTGCTTGGACAGAAGGGGTTGGTTCAGAGAGTGGAATAGAAAGAGGTGTGAAAGGACATCTTTGAAGAAGATCTGAAATGATATGTTTTTGGTTATGGACAAGAAGTAGTATAAACTTCCTGTTACTTGTTCTTGTTGCTACTGCTTCTTGCGGTCACCTCACAAATTTGTTCTAGTGTGGAAGAGGCCCTCCGGAAGGGCACAGTGAATGAAATAGTTCGCTTTCCAAAATTGTTCTATAAGGCTATTTATCTACCTGCTAATTTAACATGAATTGTGTTCAAAGCCAACTTAAAAAGCAATCAATAGGATTTAAAGCATTTACTTATTTTGAGGTGTAAATTCTAATAATTTGATACATTCCCAGGGAAAAGTTCAGGATCCCTATTTGTGATTGAGAATTACCAGATTCTCGGTGTGTAAATAGCATCTGTATCCTTGGCAACCACACTTTTCTTCAACACTGACTCATTTGGTGAGGTCATGATTCATTGTCAGAGGCATCACAACTCATTACTTTCTTTCATAGGATTTTCCTACCATTTGGTTCGTGCCAAACCACTGTAATTGAGACTTCCTCCCAGATTAGAACAAACTATTAACCAAAAAGGAAAGCAAACACAGGGCCCAAACCAGCAAAGGCAACATTTAGATGAACCTCAGTTCCAGAGAGATCCCCACAGGCTTCAAAGGTGGGTAAGGCATGGTCCTGCAAACTTGTCCACTCACATTTCAGTCTGCTGGGGACCATGTAAGCAGCTGAGACAGATGAGTTCTGATAGGCAATGGATGCCTAGAGAGAATGACTATTAGCACTTGCACATCTTTAGGACAGCCTTCAGTAGTAACTTCTGAGCGTTCCTTCAAGGCGTAACAAATACTATTCAAAATCAAACACATCTGTCCTCCAGGGGCCGCAAGCAGCTCACCTGGCAAGAAGAATTAAAGGGCATCTGTTTCCACATACTTTCCATTATAATTTTTCAGTTCAAGAGATTCTTCTTTGATGTGAAACACTGTTAGAACAGGTGACCTTGGGTGGGAAAAGGAAGACTCCTGGCTGTGCAATGGTTTATAAGAGTAGTGGCTCCATATGACACATACAGCATAAAAAACTTGGGTCTAGTTGTCTACCCTGTAGCTTCTAGCACTATAGCTTACAAGACACAAGCTAAGTAAACATTTAGAAAAGCAAAATTATTAAAGCACTTTTATTCTGATGTTGCTTTAGAGGGATTTAAAGTTAAGAGACATTTGATTACAAACACTGTCTCTCTCATACCTACTCTAGAAGGGCTCCATATACACGTCTTCCCACATTCAAGCAGGACAACCGCATGTGATGCTCAGCTGGAACAAGTGAGCAGAGTTCAGCACAAACATATGACTCTAACATGACAATACAAATATTGCTAAAGTTGATACGGATGCAACATAATGAGGACTAACTATATAGACCAAAAGGAATGAGAAGAATCCTCTTCAGGGGATACAAGATATTCAAGATCCTCATAGGCCTATATAAAGCACGCTTGTCATCTCTGACTTGCAGGAACATGAACAAAGAAAAGCAGTGTAAGTTTACTTGAACGACAGCCGATCACGGGGTTTCTCTAAGTTTATCTGACATAATGTTGTGTATAAAAGACAACAAATCCTCAAATCTCATGGATTCTGAGAGCAAATGGAATTAAGTCAGAGTTTTTTCAATCTGACATGGGAAATAGTTTGATTTGACTTGAGGAATACTTGGCTGGGCCAAGTTCAAAATGGAATTTAAATCTCTTCCTGTATTTTCTTCTTCTTTCCTATGCCATCCTTCTTAATGCTACAGTATAAACTTCACAATCTGTCTTTCTCCCCCTCTTCCCCTGGAGGGATCTCCTACCTGATTTTTTAGCCCAGTCTTACTATGAAATACAGGATGTGCCAAAAACATTGTACCATAACATTTATATTAAATGCCATGAAAACTAACTTGGTGATTAAGAAATGTATTTTCAAACATGGACTAACTACATCTGCTGCTTAGTTGTCAGGAGCACAAACCAAAACAACCAAATTCCTTTTTAGAATCAGAAGTTTTCTAATTCTCATAACGGATTTTCACAAATTTGATATTTCTCAATAAAACACAAAAATGCACAACCCAGTCAAACAGTGCTGCCTGAGGGCCAGCTCTAACGGATGAATATGGGCAGAGTGGCACTGAAGTCAGAGGGACTTATTTGCACTAGATGAACCTCTGCCTCCCTTTCCAAAGAAAGACATATAAGCCCAGCTCAATGGAGTACTTAGGGGATATGCCCAATATTAGTGGTGTGATTATGTCCAGGGCAGCTGAAGAAACTGCTTGCCTGTCTGTACCCTTGAGTTAGGTAACTTATTCCAGAGAACCGTGGAGGATATTCTGCATCTCTGTAATTCTTCATTGCCTGTACTGTTATGATTTTGAGAGTGTGATACAGTATAATCAGTAACCAAGCCTAGGTCATACTAGTAAACAAAAAATTCTTAATCGACTATGAAAATAGAGGATTCCATTTTTATTTAAGCAGTTTTCATTATATGCTTACCAGCAGAGTTAATTATGTGCCAGGCGTCCCATATCTGTTGGGGATTAGTCAATTTATTCATTTGAGGCTAGTGAGAGTGATGTGACCACTTACTTAGTCATTAGAGGGCTACTCTGGAATGGATGAGCTGAACCCCTCTCCAGCACTATTGATGGTACTGACTGGGAGGATGATTTAATTACCAAAATAGAAAAGTGTAGCAACATTTAAGGCACCTTAGGCTAACTTGTCTGCCCACATCTGCCATGGCAAAAGGTTATGGGTCTCATAGACGTGTGCTATGCCTGCTTGCCTCCGACAGATGCATCTGATAGCCTTTGTGACTTGAAATGTGTAGGGCTAATTGAAGTAAACCCTAGATCCCAAATGATTAGCTTCAATATCTAAATTCTCATTTAAGTTCTCATTTAAGTGCAGGTGTCCTAATCTGATGCTGAACCCCACCGTGACTATCTCAGCTGATTATACAAATTAATGTAACTCCTAATTCACAGAAAAAATACCATGACATCACCCAGGTACAAAGTGGTGCATTTTTCTAAAATTTGTCTTTCAGAAAACATTTTTGGTGCTGCTAAAATCTCTCTTCTTTTGCTTCAGGCCTGACAGCTGCTCTCATACATGATTCCTAATGTATGATTCCTAATATGAGCACATAAGAATTAAAATCTCTACCAGCACTTTATTACAAGGCATGACCTTGATGCTTTGAGTCTCTATATGGATCCTGCCCTACAAGCATCTATTGCAAAATGTTTATATATTTACTTAAAAAAAGCTATCTTTTGTGGACTATGTCTGAACCATTAGTTGCCAAAACTTTATGAAATTCTATACTGGCCATTGTAAGTAAGTCCACTAACCAATGTGTTATATCTCCTGTCACTTGGAAAGCAAACCTTTGGGAACTGGTAGTGTGCTGATGGTAATTATTTTTCTTTAATCATGATGAAGACTTCAACCATCGCTTTACAGGTGTTATAAGGGAAATTTGGATTAGATATAAGAGTGTGGTCAAATGCTGAAACAGGGGGCCAGGGAGACCCTGTAATCTTAATCTTTGGAATACTGAAAATTGGTTACGCAAAAACCTGAGCAGCCTGATCTAAGTTGGTTCTGCTTTGAGTAGGCATTGGAGTAGATGGTCCCTGAGATCCCTTGCAATCTATATTAGTCTATTAGACTATCATTAGTCTATGATTATGTGATTTTATTTTGGCACTATTCACCAGAATAGTCTTAAAATATAAATTAAAAATATAATTCTTTTGAAATTATACACCAAAAATGATGCAATATTTACTGTGTTCTAATGCCAAAAGTTTCTCCTGGTAGAATCTACTGCTGTTTAGATGAAAAGTCTTATTCTACACCTGGAGGAAGTTTAATCAGCTTCCAATCCCGAACTCTCTGCATGCCACAATTGAGCCTGGCCTTTCCAAGTGACTACAGAACAATTAATCTTAATGCACCCATCTCTGTTCAAATATATTCTATTTAACAATAATGGTACTCTTCAGTATGCTACTGAACTGATACATTTTATTAAATTAATAGGTTTCTACTCAGACTTACTTTCCCCCCGCTCCATGGCAAGTAGTATGGCTGGATGCAGAACATGCAACGGCTAAATAAGAAACATGCAGTTTTAAAATTTTGACTCAACGTATTTCCAGCTAGAGTTGGCCCAGCCCTTTTTGTTAAAAGCAATCATTAAACAAGGCTGACTGTAGAATTTCAAGCATTACAGGAAAAAAAAAAGGGGTTTGTATTTTTTGGCACTGAAGAGCTAAGAACTGGGGAAGCAATATGAACTATAGCTAAAGAGCAAGATGCAGTGGCATAGAAGAGATGGGCATGAAACACGAGGTGAGGGATTTGACTAACATCTTGCCTAACTCTAAACAACTGGATTCATCTTTCACTTTTCTGTGCATCAAAGTGCTCAAAGTAATACTTGTATCCCCTGCCTTGGTGTCCTTATAAGTTTTATGTGATAGTTTTCTTCCTGTTTGAGGGATTCTATCTTTCTGTTACAGTAGAGTCTTGCATTTTCTGTCCCAAAGGATTCCACCCATCCAACCTTCTGTAAAACATACCTTTAGATCAGACACATCTCTGTAGCACTGCTCAGAACGGGTGTGATCGGATAGCTGCACATTCCAGAAACATGGAAGCTGATAGACAAGGAAGGGATTTTGTTTGATGACTGCATTGAAGATATCCTAGTGGACAAAAACAGAGAAACATTGGTTTCACAGAGAGGTGATCTCAGAACCTCTGAACTAACTGTCCTTCCCCCTGTCACAAGGAAAAGAGCAAACTGAATTCTGCCCATCTTGCTTCAAAATCCTGTTTCCATGAAAGGTGTTACCACTCTAAAGGTGATGTGTGGATCTGAATCAGAGGAACAAACTCTCTTGACACATAGACCTAAAGAAATATAGCATAGTTTTCAAAGTGTGCATCTTGTACTACTGGCAAGAAACATGGTTTCCTTTCTAGCCATCAGGAAGACTAATATGCAGTAGATGACAAAATATCTGCTGTTAGTAAGTACTGCATCACTTCTTAGTAAAGGAGATGAAAGCGATCCTAGCAGCTGAACTGCTTCGGTATGAATTACTGTGTGGGATTTTAGCTAGAATTTTATTGTTGTAACAAGTATTTCAGATATTTTGTAGGAAGGGCATGTAAGATAGATGTGTACAACAGTTTATACCATAAGGGCCAGAACATGCCCTGCCTTTGTGCAGATCTCCAGTTTGAGAAATAAGATTCAGGAATGGTTTTCTGGTTAAAGCAGCAGGATGAGACAAGCAACCTTTGTCCAATCTGCAGAATTCTGCCCCACCATGTATCGAGTCACTAAGGACTGCATCTAAAATACACTGAAGCTGCAAGTGAAGTTCACCTTTTCATGAACTTAGTAATTTTTGGATCAGACTGCAAGAGTACTGTACACAGATGTGTGCAGTAAGCTCCATGCTTGTCTCACAATGGCTGGTCATGAGCCAGATGCTAACTCAGAGTCATGAAAAATATCTGAATATGATTCTATACTTGAGCTAATATGCTCAAGCTGCTGAGCAAGACTCTCTGGTTCAGGTCCAGTACTATATTAACAGGGCTTCGAAATTAAAAACGGATAGCTGGTAGGAAGCACATGGAGAGTAAACATGCATTTCTCTCTACAGACATATTAGCCATTCTATACTATTTCACTCAGCCTGTTTCCCACTGGTGGCAGGGAGACAGCAGCACTTTTTCTTCACAGGGGTATTGTAACAAAGAGCACATTAAAGACTGGGTGGACTCATCTGCCAGAGACAGCAAAGAAAGGTCTAGAGACTCTTAGAATTGGAATCAGCCTAGACAAAAACGATGTATTTGGACTTCTAAAGTCTGGAGGATTTTATGTTAAAGAAAGAGGAAATTAAAGCTTTAAAACACTAGTTGTCTATCTTATGAATCATCTATAGAGGAGGCAAAAATGCCAGCACAGTAAGATAAATCTCATTAGTAAATTTCCATTTCTCTCTTCCACACTTTCCCCAGAACAATGATGCAAGAAACGGTAACTGCAGGTACAGTATTTCATTCCTTCATCCACCCCTCATCTTCTTTCTTTTTCCTATATTCCTCAATCCATGAATTGTCACTGCTCCACCACGTCCCACTCACCTGGTCAGCCAGTGAAGTGGAGAGCATGCTCATTAATTCCCTCTCTGCTGTAAGTCTCCACATCTGCTCCCATTTCATCTTCCGTAACTTATCCAGAAGCAGCAGGATAACCCCTACAAGAAAACACAGCACAGAGAACAAGAGAAGCTGTGATGTCCCATGCCAGTCAAGGCCCTTCCTGTCTACATGCTGACTTACAGCAGTTAAAACAAGGACAAGAACCAAGACTGAGCAGTGGACACCATAACTTTTGCTTTATGCAAGTGTAGGCATTTGATTGAAACTAGAATAAATACTTTGGTGATCCTTCAGTTCACATATCCTAATGAATCCAAATAAACAGCAAGGAGAAAAATTATATTGAATACAGAATACAATAAAGAACTAGAGCCTCATTGTGCCAGGGGCAGTTTAAATGTAATCGCCCAAAAGTGAGAGTCTCAACAAAAACAAAGTAAGAAGGCAGCTCCAGAACATCCAGGCACTAGAAGGACAGTACTGAGGATAGTCAGAAGAGAAATCTGAGTGGAGGACGCTAAAGATTTCACTTCATCATTAAAGCATTCCTAAATCCTTGAGGCTGCAAGAGAAAGGGAGAATCAGCAGACAGACAAATACCAGCCTATGTATACTTATGAGAAGAACAAAGTAGACAATAAAACTAGCAAGAGGGGAAGCAGAGGAAGAACTGAAGAACAGAAGGACATAGTACTTCTAGCAGTTTCCTTAACTGATAAAACCTCATTTCATTAAGACATGATTAGCATGTGGATTAATCCTGACAAAATAAACCAGTACAGGTGATTCGTATAGCGGAAGTTAAATCCATGCTAGTGTTATCACTCTAAAGACATTAGACCATCTCTTACAGGAAAGAGAGAATTAACTTCTTTGCTCTCAGAAGTGACCCTCACTATTCCTTATTTTAAGAAGTGATAGGCTCTGAGAGGCAATTCTGACAAATCACAGTCTACCGGGGAAAGGATAGGGACAGTCCTGATCTGAGGTGACGGAGTTGCTAGTATGGGTCTATTTCTGTCATTGACTAGAGGTCTGCTTCTTGCGAAATCCTGCTGTTTTATTGAGTTTATATCTAAACAGTAATGATGGGGACTATGCTGATATAATGGAGAATTACACCCATGTAAAGCATTTTACTCAATGCAAATGTATGTGAGGTGAAATCTGGCCCCTAATACTTATTCCAACTAGACAGGAAGATACTCCAGGCCACATTCAACCTAATAAGAAGTTAATCATCTAACACATCTCACTGAAATCCTTCAAACTTTACTGAACAACAAGCCATCCTGATAAACAATGCTTCTTTACCACCTTGTTGACAGTGTCTATCACTACAGCAGCAAGCGTTAATAGAGCAGGATCCTCAGGAAAGAAAGCTACACCTTAAGGTGGAAAAGAGACAGCTCAGCATACTCTGTTACTCCTTGGCTGTTTTGTGTTTGGACAGAATCCCTTGTGTGGAGGAAAGGAAAACAGCAGAAGCAACGAGCTGGACTGAAGTATCAGCAAAACCTTTCCTACGGTGTCTCACAAAATCTTACTTGAAAAATTAATTCCAAAGGACTCAGATAAGAGCACTATCATGGGAAATATATGCTAGCTGGAGGACCATAAACAAAGAATGCTGATAAACAGCAGCATAGCAAGTTGGCAGGAGGTACCTAGCAGGATCAATGAGAGGTGCCGTGTTCCTTCACATCTTCATTAGCATTAGAGGGAGTAAACAGAATAGCAATGACATCCGCAAATGACATTAAACCAGAGGTCTTGTAACAAAAAGTACTGACAACTGTAGAGAAATGCAACAGCTACCTAGAGGAATATGAAAAGCGCAAAAGCAGGCAATGGGAAAAGCTGCCCAAGGTGGGTCTGAAACGATAAAATTTAAAGTAGTAAAAGTAGAAGAAATGAAACGTAGTCTGAATAGTCAGGAAAAAAATAATAAATCCTTTGTGGTAAAATAACCTAAGAATGTTAGATAAAATGTCCTATATCATAAACCTTTAAAAATAGACTACAAAAAGATTAGCAAATACATAGAGATGGACCAATCCTCCATGGGTGGGGATAGAACAAAGCAGGTTCTAGATCACTCATACCTTCATTTTTTATCACTTGGCAAATTCCATTCTACTACAACCTTAAACTGCCACGAATAAAAACAAAATCTCTTCTGGCAGTGATTTTTTGGCCTATATTAATTGTGTTTTCTACTGCAGCCCATCTGATTCCCAAGAATGCTGGAACCTTTACTGGAGGGATCCCCTTTCATATTCAGTGAACCTTTCTGCTTCCAGCTGTTGTAATGGAAAGAGAGACAGTGTCACAACAGCCTGTAATGTGGGTTTTTTTGGCCAGTGTATTTGTCTCCTCTCCAGCATATGTAAATCTTTAGTGGAGTGGGTGGTGTGTTTACATTAGTTCCTCAGAGCACATTATCTGAAATTCCAGATCAATGTGAAGAAGATTCCTTCCACTGCAGGGATAAATTAGGTGGGATAACCTCCTTTCTGGCAGTGTCTTATTTCCAGTTGCAAAAACTGTCAGCTTTACTTCAGCAGCATGCTATAACTGAGGACATTCTTCACTAAAAAAAATAAAGAATAACTGCCAGATTCCGTTAACTCTAGTGTAAAAGTTTTTATATTTTATAGACAATAAAATATTTTTCTTAATAAATCTTCTTTAAGCTTCCAATGTGAGGAAGAAAAAAAGGAATTGTTTTTATATGCAAAATATTCTTCAGGTTTTGTCTTCCAGTCTTGTGCTAACAGCAGATTATGGCATCACAGTTAAAGAGATTATGATATCCTGAGGGGCCATCATGGTAGCAGCAGAAAATTGGAATATATACAAAAAAAAGTTTTGAATTATGATGAACAGTAGCTATTGAAAATATTTGGAAATATTATCACCTAATGAATATTATTTAGTGCAAAAGAAAAGCAAAAGTAAGTAGGTTGAAAACTTTGAAATTACTCATGCAAAGGTAAAAGTACTTGTTTGTTTTCAGAATAAAGCATTTATTTATACTTTTATATTGTTCTGTTACCAAAATCAAAGATAACAAATGCAGCAGTTTTCTGCAACCCTGACCTAACTCCAGTCTGCATAAATAGTGTGCAGGCAAAGTGCCTAGAACCAGAGAAAGGAAATATTTACCCCAAAAGCCCCTTCGTCAAAGTCATATTGACTGAAATCTCTAACTAAATTCAAGACGACATAAAGATGAACATAAGGGGATAGGGACTTACCCTCAGCTGCTGTGCTGGGGGAGGAAGAGATTGTAGGAAAAATGATCAAAGCAATCTTTTATGAACATCTGGCCCCAGGCAGTGGGACTGCTCCTCATTTGATGAGAGCAGCACTTTGCTTCCCTAACCTACCTGAGGGAAACAAAAAGGAAACTTTGCAGGAAATAAACAGCAAGAGAAAACTGGGAACCTCGATGCCTCACGGTTATTAAGTGACTTATGATCAGTCATAGAATACCCTGTTTTCCTGATCTTGAGGAACTGGTTCAGACATATATGAAGTTACACGTATCTTGAGGGGCTCTTGGAAACAAACAAACAACAACAAAAAACCCCTCACCCTCTGTCTAGGAAGGATTTTTGTTTATGTGGTTCAATATCTTCAGTATGCCTCTTCCTTCATGTTTTACTACTAAAGATGTGGATCACATAGTTTTACCAGTTTTACCTGACTGCCATTTTCTCCCTCCCCTTGATGAGACTTTGCTTGAACTACCAAAATCATACAGACTCTGAATTGCTATAACAAACAAACTAGAAAGGAGTTTCTCCAAAAACACAATTTCAGGAGACAAAAAAGAGGGAAATTTGTTGAGTAGATTAGGCAAAATATGGTAAATATTTTGCATAAAATATTTTTCCTGAAATGTCTTGTTTTAGAAGTACATGATTCTTTGTTTGGCACATTTCGAAAAACAACTTGGGGGGTTGGACGAGGTGATCTCTAGAGGTCCCTTCCAACCTCAACCACTCTGTGATTCTGTGACTTACTCTAAAATTGTATTTCTCATTTCAAAGATGATATAAATTAAAAAGTTTATTGAAATGGTTACATCACTAGAGAAGGAAAACAAATGTTTCATCCTAGGTCTAATAAAATTTTGAAATCACCTGAATCACCTGAATTCTTTCTCTTCTTTCCTTTTTTGATTCCATCATTTTTTTTCACTCTCCAAAGTTTCAGTTAAGCAATGGTTTCAGAGATGTTTCAAGGCATCTCAGCAAAACAGTGCAATTTCTTTTTTCATTGCTTCAGAACCAATTATTTTATTAGATTTTTCCCAATGGCAAATTGAAAGTTTCCAGCAAAATCAGCAATTTTCCTTGGAATGTTATCAGGCAGCATCTTTGTAATATAGATTATGACTTTTACTGAAATGCACAGCAGAACATATAGCACTATAGGAAATAATAAACAGCATTTTTAGCAAGAATAGAATCACTGACATTACAGTGAAACTGGACAAACCTTCAAACTCAATTAAGGTATTAGAGTGTCCATTTTAAGAAGGCTGAAAAAATACTTAGCACTGCGGGTTGAGCTACTAAGAGCCATTACCTGTAAGCACTACTTTGATCCTTACTTTCAGGTGGGAAAAGATGCTTGGGTGAGCTGCCTAGGCAATGGCAGATTAAGTGAGCAGCATCTCGGAGTCAGTCCTTTTTAGGATGTTATAAAACTCTTCTCACAGCTGCACCTAAACAGCCAACCACCTAAACAGCAAGCAGATTTCTTCATAGTACTTGACAAAAGATAGGCAGGACACACTTCGGTAATATTTTTAAAGCAATAGTCAGTTTTAAAAAATCAGTGGGATTTTACAATACTTAACAAGCACACCGGAAACTATATACCAAACTACTGAGTCTTCTATGATGTAGGGAGTAATGTTAAACAAGACAGATGTTAGGGAGATTTAATACAAGAAATATCTTTGATCCAGACATTTAAGGTAGTATGAATAAGCTATGTTCATAAATAAGCTATGATTTAGCACCAAAACAGATTTAGGTCAAGTTTAGGAGCTATGGAAAGGGACTGTAGTCTGGCCATC